AAATTCCTTTCCTCTTAAATCACCTTTTAGCCAAAAAAACCAAAATCTAACCTAACCTAACCTAACCAACCTAACCTAACCTAACCTAACCTAACCTAACCTAACCTATAAATTCAATTATCGAGGAAAGCTGATTTCCCAAAAACTCATCGTTCTTATCGAACAGCTTACGATTCAATTTCCACGTGTCTAGGAGGCGCAACGTGCACGTTGAACCGTGAATTGTTGAAACGGCAATGATCGAGTGGCGCGTGCAAAGCGGATCTCGTCTGTTCCGGATCGATGCATGCAGCTGGCTGCGGTATAACGTGTTATTATCACGGGTATTCCGGCCGACCAAGTCTAGATCTGACCTAGAACTCTCTCGGGTTGTAGAATCTGGCCGGAGTCCCCGACCCGGCCGCCTGCCTGTGAAACCCCCTAAATCATGGCGAGGGGGGGGATCGCGTGGAAACACGCCTTTAACGATAAAGGGCAGAGAAACTGGAACACTTTCGATGAACACGCTTCAAATGCTAGGATGCACGCAGCGTGATCTAATTTTCTGATAGGGTTTCGAGTCAGCCGGTTACGGGTGGACCTTTCGTTTGACCTCTTCCGTCCTCTGCTCTGCTCCTTCCTTCCACTATCTTTTTTTTTTTTTAGCTCCTCGTTCTCCGCGTGGGCGGAGTCTATCCGTCATCTATTTTCGTACGCTTCGTTTCGATTTTTAGTTGTTTTTCTTTCTTTTTTTTTTCTTTTTTTTTTTTTTTCAATGGTAATTATTCATCTGAGAAGATATCGGCCTTGATTCTGAAATTGAAATTTATTCTTCGAAATAGTAATAGGGTATAGGTTAGGTCAAGTGGATTTTTAAATTTTTAATTTTGATTTGTGAAATTAGAGTTAAGAATTAATTGGTGTTAAGTAAAAATTTATTTAATTTTAAGCTATCAATTTTTTTTTGTTAATAATTTTTCAACGAAAGCTTCGCAATACTTGTTCAATATGACGATATGTTAAAAAATCATCGAAGAGTGATACTTTTTAGTGTCTATCCTTAATTTTGTTTCTTAATTTTTATTTTAGATTTCGATTAATTTTCAAAAAATTTCCTTTAGAATTGAGTGAATAAGCTTGAAAATTTTACATAAAATGATATGATTATACATAAAATCTTTCATGTTAAGTCGCTGACAGAAATTATATTCCAAACAAAGAAGCGTGAAATATTTCGCGTAACTAAACGACAAATTGACGACGATAAATCATGGGAAACGACGTGGGTGGGCGGTATCTCGCTCCTTTAAAGCGTTAAATTGGTTAAACGCCGACTTGTAGAGGTCTCTAACGACGAAAGAAAAGAATTCCCCTTAGAATTCTGGCACGTTATTCTGGCACGAACAAACTCGACTATTTTCTCGATATTATTTTTCGCTCTATTAATACCATTTTCATTTATCCTTCGCGCGTGATTAATTTTCCTCGATGGTTCATCCCTTTGATCATTGTCGAAATCTTATACGGGAAATTTTCCAATTTCTCTGAATTTGATTAATCGGATTTGATATCGAATTTCATCATGGATCTCATTAAGATTTTATTTTTCATTAGAAATCTCGTTCATTCCAAAATTTTTTTAATTTTCGCCTATAGGATTTAACGTCTTTCGAAACTTTTCACTTTTTCAATTTTTCAGAATTTTCTTCTTCAATCTTTTTAATTGGAACTTTTTATTACTTAATACATTCTTTTAAGGATCCATATAGAAGATGTAAAAGAACATACATGGAATGACGTGCATGAGAAAGAAATAACACTTTCATTCGGTCCATTCATGAAAAATGGAATTATCATAGCATACAAAAGCATCTTTCCAATAATACAAAGCACTGAAGATTATTTTTCAACGTGTATATATATATATATTCATTTTACGTTTGAAAAACAGTGCAACTACGTAATCCACATGCAAAGTTTCTTTTGCAACAATCCTGGAAAGATACTCTATTTATTCTCATTCTTCCTATTGCAATTTTTATTCTAATTACAACTACCTTATTCCATTTGCTCGAATCACCTCGTACGTGAAGGAAAAAAGAAGGAAAAAGGAATTATTATAATTCCTCCATGGAGTACAGTAAATATTCACCTTTTCCAAGATGTTCACCCGACTTAAGCTTAACCTTATTAAAAAGAGAATTACGCAATTCCCCTGTGGAGGATATTAAATATTCACTGTTTCTGAGAAAACAGCATCGTGTCGTTGCTTCATTCCGGAAGAATGATCATCCTCAAGGTCATCCTCCATTAATAATTATATTTTCTCGTGCGCAATACGGGGGGAGGGGAGTTCGGGAATATCGAGTTGAACTCGAGTACGTTTTCTTTTCAACGATCAATTCAGTGTCGAGTCACTGTTTCGAGAATAATTATATAAGATTTAATCTTAATCGATGAATTTAAAATCTGTCTGATATTACGACGCATCGACGATGTTGAAATTCAAGCATAAACAAATACTTGGAGACAAGAGTTGCATCATATTACCATTCATCTCGTCGAATCAAAATTTGCAATTCAACATTTACAAAATCTATTTTCCCCTCCGTACACCTTTTATGTAAATTATCGCGAAATATGAATCCGTTCGTTCCTAAATTTCCTACAAATTCCCTCGAGTTCGTGAACTTGACTTGATCTTCGCCTCATCAGGGGGGGGATCTATTAATACGCGCTTGATTCTCGAAATGCTCGGATGGTTGGAAACGAATTTAGAACCACTTCTCCAGGAGGTGGTTTCCTACGGCGTAAACTCCATTTGGGAAACGCGTCACAATCGTATTTTCAATTTCACATCGAATTACACACGTTTAATTGGAAAATTAACATTTCTTCTTTTTTTCTCCCCTCTCGAACGTTCCAAATTGGATGCATCATCGATAATAAGATATATCTGTTTTGAGAAGAAGAAGATTAAAACTTATATGTATATGAGGAGAGCAATAAAGATGGATCCCCTGTCTTTTGTTCCCTCTCTTTGTACGAAATACCTCGTAATATCAGATTGCATCTCCCTGGTGGCCATCACCGAAATTACACGCCATCTGGCGCTCGAAGCGAGAAGCGTTAGAGCCGATGTCTCTCTATTGTCTCCATTGTTCGTGTCGCGGCCATTTGTGGAGGCGCGTTTCGACCCTATTTGCAAAGCCAGCTATGCGAATTAATCGCGCATGGCTAATTTGATCCGAACAATTTACCAATTAATATCGATGATGAGAGGCGTTTCGAGATTTATTAATTTCGTTCGGGGGAAAAATGGATTCGTGGATCATCATTGGAATTAATTTCAGGAATAGACAGGCTAATAATTAATTTCTAGAAGTTAGTTATTTAAGGGAAATTGCAGGACAGTTTTTAATTTAGTTTTCTGTTTGCTTGTTCTTCAATAATTAATTCTTTCTTTTTTTTGAAACGTTTAATTGGAAATCTTAATTGAGATGGTTTGTCCATTTTACCAGCAATAATTATTCCATGTCTGAAATGCGAATGGTAGGATAGCTCCTTTTTTCTCGCGTGTTCGTACGTGATTGGAATTTGTTTGGTAATTTTTTTTTTTTTTTAGGTCTTTGAATAAAGAGTTGAATGATCATCAAGTTAATCTGTGTTTTTAATCATATCGAATTAACAATATAATAAAATGAATAAATATAATACGTCGAATATATCGATTAAAACAGATATGTTTCAAATTCAGCTCGTTAGTAATTGAAGTATCGAGTGATTTTGAAAATTTGAATCAGTTTTTCCACATCGATAGCTCTTCTAACAATCGAGATCATTTTAACCGAAACATTGTGATTCGATCGCCAGAGTACATTGATAATCCACAACTTCAAAATATCGAGTTCGAAGATACTTCAGAAAATTCATTTATAACACATCATTTAAAAATTGTGAAATCTGTATCAAAGTGTTGATATCGAATTCATGTTCGTATCGAACATTTTCCACGAAGGCTACTTTTGTAAAAATCTTTTGTGAAAAAACAATTTCTTCTTCGAAGAAAGAATTTCTAAAATGGATTTTTTGTAAGCAACAATTACGTTGATATTTCTTCGAATGATTAAAGAGAATATCAGATCTGATGTCGACGTAAAATTATAGCAATCGTACCCTAGGATCGATACTAACGACGATTGGATCAACCTGCAATGCTAAACGAATCGATCCTCCGCTCGAAGGTAGTAGCGATCCACCGATTTTTCCTAACTGCATGGAACTGGAACGAAGCCAGGCCAGCTGGGAACACAGAAGGATACGACGTTTCGTGAAAAATTGATCGCATGTGTGGTGGAACGTGGACATAACTTATCACGTTTCATCGATAAGTTATGATTGACGTGTCAATTTCGATCATCACGAGAATTTCACTGTGCATTAATTATTTTTATACGACAACTCTTCAAAAAATTGAACGCAGCTGTATAATTTTCCTTCTACAACGATTGACACTTCAATTTAATTCGAGCATCGATAGACGATCGCTTGGATCTCTGTTTACTGATAGAATTTTATTTTGCCCAACATGTTTTCTACAACATCATCAGTATCGATTATTTGATGATTAATCCTATTAATCAGAGTAGGAACAGATTCATCGACAATGATTCGGTATCCCTGATTAGAGACTCACGCGAATGCATGCTAGCTAATCCTTGAGATTCCAAATGTTTCTGGGTTAATCTGTCAGGTTATCCGATCGATGGAGAAACTGGATAAGCCTAGCACACGATTAAAATTATTTCAGACTCGCATGTATATCAACTTCCACGATATAGTAAGTTTGTTGAAACGACTCTTTGTTCCAAAATAATATAATCGACCAATCTGAAACTATTAAGTTTTTTAAAAAAATTCGCAAGAAAAGAAAGTAGTAACTCCAAAGGGTACTCCAAAAGAAAGGCCAAAAGACTCTAAAGAAAAAGTCAAAAGCAAGACACAGACTTTCGCTCTTTCAGCCCTCGAGTCGACGAGGCATCGTATCGAATCCAAACACGTTTGACACACGCGCGACCAACCTGGCAGAGGCGTTTCTCACTGCGATGACTCCGGGGATCCAGCAGGGATCAGGATTCCATCATCCCTGACCCGAAATTGCCAGCATCGCGATCAGCAGCCGCCCGCCCAATCGGTCGTCCATCCTCGCCACTTGAAACCCTCCATCTCGTCAATCCTTTGCCTCTGTCGATCCCGAAATAAATATCCGTGCCTCGCCTCTATATAACCGACGGATAGCTAGAATTTCCATTCGAAAATGGACGACGACGACACGGAAGAGAAGCGAGAATCCGTGACCCTGGTGAACAAGCTGTCTCACAAAGAGACGAAGACCAAATTGCTGGTTTCATCCTCGAGACTCGTGTCCATGAGCTCGAAGCTCGAGACCAAGCAACGAAACTCGACGGAAAGCTCGGACACCATGGAGTGCGCCTCTGAGAATGAAGTGGAGAACATACCCAAGGACGAGGAAGCGTCCGAGCCCGTGGTCACCGATGAGAAAGGGAACAAAATCTCCGGGGGGGATCGCTTGGAAGAGGGTGAGACGCTGGTCACCAGTAGTCGCCAACACACCGTGACGAAGACCACCAGCCTAAAAGTGTGCGAGGAGGAGGCCAGGCAGGCCAGGTTCCCCGGGATCAGGCTGGGCTTCTTCCATCGAAGCCCTCAATCCTCGTCCAGTCAGGAGGACTACGAGCCCGAGGTGAAGAGCCTGTCCAAACTGGAGAAGCAGCAGCCTCAACAGTCGCAACAGCATCTGTTGACCGCCAGGGGTAGCAGTAGCCAGACAGCAAAGTCCATGGAAAGTCTGAGAACGTCGAGGAACTTTCTGAGCGCGGACGAGCGCTACGTGGATGACTCCAAGTCGTTGGAGTCGTTGTCAGAGTCTCACGTGGCCACCTCGAAATCTCACTACAGAAGCTTTCTCACCTCGTCCAGCAGAGACGTGAGAAGGATCGTGACCGTCGAGTCGAAAAGCAGCGACAATCTCCACAGGGAGGAGAGCCTGAACGCCGAAGTTAGACGCGGCCTTTTCGCTAACACCGGGTTGGAGAGGAAGATCCCTCAGAATCTGAGCCTTCCACCTCCGTCAAATGTGTTTTCGTTGACCAGCCCGGGTGGCAGTGACAGAAAGATCACTATCCTCAGCCCCCACTCGCCCCTCCAGACCACCGAATTCCAGTTCTCGCAGACGTTGAAGACCAGGCGTAAGAAGGCCATCGTCTTGCCGAGGTTGGTGTTGCCCAGAAGCGAATCCGACGTGTTCTTCTCTGAGTGAGTAGTCGGACAGCACGTAGCACGAGTGGCCACGGATACGTCGGTCTGCTCTTGCGCTTTGGGCCGGGTTTGCGCGTAGCTTCCTTTAATTTCACCACGTAATCTCTGCAGAATGGTTTCGTAAGTGATCGTGCGTGGCAAGAATTGGAAAATACTGGAAATGGATAATACTTGAACGCGTATATAACGTTCGAATTTTCAAAATTTTTAGTAACGTAGTAGTTCTTTTTTTTTTTCTTAAACTATTATTTTTGGATTGTTTTAAAATATTGAGACGCGATATCGATTACGTTTGAAACAAATTAGGGTAGGACGTCATAGGTGAGGAGAGTGTTCTCGAGTATCCTCGATTTATTATATTTCGAAGAAACGAGGGGAAACTTGAGTCATTTGCTATCCTAGGAGGAGGAAATGTCTTGAAATTCAATTCGTAAATAAAATTTTTCAAGCTTTAATCCATGCCGTCATTAATTAACGTTGCGGTAAGGGTTCATCAGGAAGGAAAGTTCACGCATGACCCCTATTCTTGTTTCAGCTTTTAAGCTTTTCGTCTCAAAACAAGGCAACGTTTACATTTTAATTTATTCCACGACGGAAATGCGCGTAATTAAACCCGAAGAAATTTTATATCGCGGATATTAAGTCACAAAAATGTATTTTCTTTGGGAATATTCTTTCTTGAAGCGCGTCGTATCCTTCACAACTTCATATATAAGGATAGGATGTATAGTTTTTAGACTTTACGCTTTGCACTTTAAATTCACAAATTCACGAGATTTTTAAAGTTTCTTCTTCGCATTGTTGAGTTTATTTTAAGATTTCTAAATTTTATTTTATTTTATTTTGTACATATTGTGTGTGCTTGCAAATTAGTGCAATGTGAATTCTTTAACGTGGCATTTAATTTAGACAGAATTAGATTTAGAAATGATTCATTGAAAAGCGAAATCCTCGGATCGAGTCTCTGCTTGCTTCAATGCACGTTAACAGTGATCGGACGTTTTCAAAGTTGAACAGTTTGAACGGAAGATTGGATATGTTAATGATTGATTTCGATTCGATCGATCGCTGTCCGAATCTCCGTTTCATAGGCGCAATTTCCGTTTCGAAACGATCGCGTTCTGCAATCATAGCAGATTGAAATGGTAAGCAGGAAACAATTCTGAAAAGAAATATGCACGTTTCATAAATATTTGTATACACATTTTTCAATTTAATTTTTCTAAATTTTACAATTTTCAATTCGAATAAAAAAAAATTAAAGCATATTTTTGTATGCAAATATGAAATAATGAAAACTTGAAAATTCGCGAAAAATGGCTGAAGGTATGTAAATAATCGTATTTACGTGGTTTTTCGGGGAGGGAAATATATATTTCGTAGCGCAATGTGGTTCCTCGAGCCACGTTGCGATACGCGATGAATTCGTGGAAGAATTCAGAATTATTGGGAACGTAAATCCTTTGATAATACAAAAATACAATTTTTAACCTTCTTTTTGCAACAGTTTTCACTCGGTAAATATTTTTTCGCCGGTTGAAATATTAAGCGGTGTTGTGTAAGCGACTTTAGCGATATAACGTTGGATAAAAACAAATGAAAAATATATCTCTTGATTGTGAAATATTTTTTAACAAATTTTATCGAGAGAGAGAAAGAGAGAGAGAATTTTTCCTTTTTTTGCGACGGAAAAAAATTTTTACACGACGAAATTACACGCTTTCCAAAGCAGCGTGTTTATTTTAATTTACACCTACTCTTTTCTTTCGTTAGAAAGTTAATTAGACCGAATTTGAATACGAAATACGGAACGATAATATTTTATTTAACGAGAGATAAAACGGAATCTTCTCGTTTCGTAATAGTAATCGTTTAAAAATTAACGGATTTAATTATTGTTAAATGAGTTTGGTTCGTAACGTGACGAAAAACAGGCCACAATAATTAATTATTCATTAAGAGAATTATTTTATGCAACATTAATAATTATAATGTGAAACAATATTTTCATAAATTATTTACAATCGGTTGTTGACAAAATTATTGATTACTCTTATTGCACTATTAATCCCAAAGCATGCAGATTTATAGCTAAATTGCGTGGGTTAAGGAATATATCATTAAAATCATACATCACTTACAATTTATTGATATACATATATCGAGTAATTGAAAGCAAATTCAAACAGAAATTCAAAATTTTCCTTGAAAAATATCTATTATTGAAATACATATATATTTATATCGCTTAATTTTAATTCAATTTTTAAAAAATTGAAATTTTTCAAATTTTATAAACAATTCAAAAATAATTAAACAATTTTTATTTAAATATGCAGTATTATCCATACATATATTTTCACCATATATAATTTCTTATAATTTCCGCTAAAAGTTAGTGGTCTTTGTGACATGGGAACAACACTGTTTTTCAATTGTTACCAAAGTCAAGTTGCATTGCTCATGATCAATAATTGGATGGGTGACCGCTTGAAAACACACTCATGTTGTAAATTGTGTTTGACAGTTGTGAATTCATTTAACCTATATATATATATATATATATGTATTATATATTGATCCTGGGGAATAATAACCACAAAATTAGTATTAGTGTTGTTAACAACAATTAATAATAATCCTTGTTGTTTAAGCTTAAATAAGTTAGTTAGGTGAATGGGTGACCGTTTGGGAAACTTAATCTCATATATTGTTACTTTAATAGTTTAGAACTCATCTTAACTATGAGTCTCAAACTAAATACAGTAACCGGTGGCAAGTCAATTAACAATATAAACGAAACAAATACGAATATTTCTCTAAAAAAATTATACAGGAATCGCATTGTTGCTCAAATGTATTGTTATAATTATATTAACTATATCAATTAAACAACAACAAATAGAGGAGAATACTTCTTAAAGAAAATTATATACAAAAATTGAAAAAAGAAAAAGCTCAATTCGTGTAAAAAAGCATTCTGGATATTCTCTGGATCCAGTTTCGGGATAAAAATTTCGTGTTAAATTTCTTCTACGGTGTATTACGGATGATTGACTGCATTGAACCAAACACAACAAACATCAATCCAATTATAAGCTACTTCTCTAAAAATTATACAAAAGTCAAAGAAGAAAAAGCTTAGTCTTGTAAAAAACGCTTTGTTGCGGGTCTATCTCAATTCACGTTCGAGATATAAAAAAGATGGGTTTTGAATTCCCTAACAATGTGTTTCGCGGATGGCTGGACTGTATCGACGTTTAACCTACTTTTTCCTGGAAACATTGCATTGCTGGAAGCAATGGTAAAAAGCCGCTGATTCAACGACTGTCGCTGACCATCACCACGTGTGCGTGACTAGAGTGAGGTAGGTCAGTGAGTCGGCGCGAACAGAAAGAGAGGGGGAGAGAAGGAGAGAGAGAGAGGGAGAGAGAAAGAGATTCAAATGTAATTCAGGCATTAAAAATTACGGCCTCCTCTCTTTAAGCGACGGACGTGATATCGACACGATTAAAAAGTTATTCAGCGGTGGACTTTTTATGCTTTTAAACGACATTAAAAACGTTTTAATCGAATTCTATACCTTTATGGGACAAATAAAATGCTGAGATTAAAATCATCAATTTTTTTTTTCGAATTAGTATTGTAATCGCGATCGAATCAAAAGTGATAAATCATATTGCACGTGCACAATGTTTAGGAATAAAATAACAAAATGAAAAAAATAAGAATGTTTTCGCGAATACTTATACATCAAAAATTCAAAATATGCGAAATAGTTGAACTGGATACGTTTATCTCGAAATCGAAATTTGCATCAAGATGGGATAATTAACGATCGTGTGGTGGCCTGTTATAATGCGATTACCGTTGCAAATTAATTCCGCGGGTAAAATCTCGGCCCAGGAGCAAACAGTGCGCGTCGCGGATCGATTGTTCGAGGACTCGATACCCCAATCTTTCTGATAACATATCAAAATTGCAAAATGATATATTGCTCGGTGATAAATTTAGATCGAAAGGGAGATTCGTTCTTCGTATCGCGCAGCATGAGAATTCCGTGCGTGATGGGGCTCAATGAGGCAGATAACCGCGTTAAAAATATTGCGATAAAGTTTATGGCGAAAAATATTCCTTTCATTCGTTATTTTTACACGAAGGTAATGCTCGTTATTTGATTTATCATTCTCTACGCGTGACTAGAGCTACGATCGATAGATGAGCAATGATTAGGGCGAAAAGATATTGGGCACAGATAGGAGTGGGAAAAGTAATTTGAAAACGCTGTATAAATGGAAACGAAACGAGAGAATGATATTTCAGGTTGGTTTGTTTGGATAAAAATATAATGGTGTATAATTATTTTCAATTATGTTCATTTAAAATTGATCGATCTCGTTCTTTAATTTTTATTTTATTCGATTATCATTCTACATCTCGAAATTCTGCCTCGCTTCTTCAAACAAAGTGGTTTTAATAACGGTTATTCTAATTTTTGAAGCGCATAATGCGCATATTTCAACGGGAGTACAAATGCACCTCCATTCGAGAAAATGGCGACGTTTCATATGCACTGTCCTAATAACACTTGCTCAAGAATCTACTTATGCTTATCGCTCTGACCCACTTAATCCACGCGTGGAGTGGATTCCTCCACTTTCTTATTTGCATCGAAACTTAGATACGCTTTCCTCTCCCATAAATGATGGATTTGTAAACGTTTATATCCTCGCGGGACGATTCGATACGCCGCCATGTTTTCTTTACGTTTCGAACAAGTCGGTGAAAATGATGATGATGATGATGATGATGATGATGATGATGATGATGCGTTCAACGCAAGACAATAGACTTGCAGGCAAGTAAATTTATGTCACTTTGGTGTAATTTGAGGTGATCGATCGATAATTCTTTTTTTTTTGTCGAGAGTAAAACGTGCAATTGTGCAAGTTGGGATGAAATTTTTGACAGAAGAAAATTGTTATCGTGTTACGAGT